GCTGTATAGATGTTTAGATAGGGAGTCAGGTAAGTAGATAGTAAACAAGCAAGCAGATAAATAGTAGACAGTATCTACTATGTACAAGTAGGTAGGTATAGGTAAGCAGTAAATATTAAGTGATTTTTTTATTGAATTATAATTGACATATAATATAACATTACAAAAAATAACATTGCAAAAATTGAATTCAACAGAAAAAGTTAATGGATCCTATGCTGAAAGCCCCTGATCTTAACATTGCAAATAATGTCTTCTACTAGGGCACCTAACTTTCAAGGAGCTACATTTTTCTTTCTCTTAGTTGGAAAAAATAAATTTATCTCATCAAAATATATTCTTGAAAAGTGAGAAAATACAATCAGTAGGTACTACCACTAAAATGACACAAGTGTTGGAATTATCTGACAAGGATTTTAAAGCAACAATCATATAAATGATTCAATAAGCAATTACAAGCACTTAAAACAAATGGAAAAAAAAAAGAGGGGTCTCAGTCAAGAAATAAGATATAAAGAAGAAGCATGTGAAAATCTTAGAACTAAAAAATACAACAGAAATAGAAATTCAATGGAAGGACCCAACAACAGCATGGAGGGGACAGAGGAAAGAATTAGCGAACTCAAAGATGGAATTATAGGTATTACCCAGCATGAACAAAAGAGAAAAAACAGACTGCAGGGAAAAAAATTATGAACAGAACTCAGTGACTTGTTAAAGTAAAACAAAATATTTACCATTATGTCATTGGATTCAAGGAAAGGGAGGAGAAAGCGTGGGACTGAAAAATATTGGCTGAAATTTTTCCAAATTTGGCAAAAGACATAAGCCTATAGATTCAAACATGGATGGAACTCAAGGGTATTATGCTAAGTGAAATAAGTCAGACCAAGAAAGACAAATATCATATGATTTCACTCAAATGTGGAATCTAAAAAACAAAATAAATGAATGAACAAAAAACAGAATCAGATTTATAAATACAGAGAACACACTGATGGTTGCCAGAGGGAAGCGGTTGGGGATGGGCAAAATAGGTGAAGGGGAGATTGGGAGATAGAGGCTTTCAGTTATGGAATGTACAAGTCATGAGAATAAAAGGCACAGTATAGGGAATATAGTTAATGATATTGTAATAGCATTGGATGGTGACAGACGGTAGCTACACTTGTGGTGAGTATAGCATAATATATAGAGTTGGTGCTATGTTGTACACCCGAAACTGACGTAATATTGTGTGTCCACTATACTCAAAATTTTTTTTAAAAAAAGAAGCTGAGCAAATTCCAAATAGGGTAAAGCCAAAGACATCCATAAAGATACACCATAATCAAACCCCCAACAACTATAGACAAAGAAAAAGATCTTAAAGCAGAAAGAGAGAAATGAGATTTTATCTATAGGGGTAAAACTATTTAAATGACAGATTTGTCCTCATAGACCACACAAGCCAAAAGGAAAGGGCACATTTTCAAATGCCGAAAGAAAAGCCATGTCAAATTCTATATCTGATCCAAATTATCTTTCAGGAATTAAGAGGAAATCAAGACATTCTCAGATGAAGAAAAATGAAGAGAATGTATCGCCAATAGATCTACCTTAAAAGCAAAAGATGTTCTTGAATATTCATGCACTTGTTTTGCTGAAGGAAGATGTAATTACTCTTTTTTTTTTTTAAGATTTTATTTATTTATTTGAGACAGAGAGAATGAGAGAGAGAGAGAGCATGAGAGGGGGGAGGGTCAGAGGGAGAAGCGGACTCCCTGCCGAGCAGGGAGCCCGATGCGGGACTCGATCCCAGGACTCCAGGATCATGACCTGAGCCGAAGGCAGTCGCTTAACCAACTGAGCCAACCAGGCGCCCAGATGTAGTTACTCTTATCCAAATTACATAAATGAAAAGTTGGAAGCTTAGAGCAATGAAAGAATTTATCCGAAGTTATCCAGAGATAGTGTTTTATGATAAAAAAAAATCAGTCATAAAGGAAAAACCATATAACGAGGTTTTTATTTCCCCCTTTTTGTGTCCTTAGTTACACTTTAGTTCCCTCACCATAAAAAAGTCATTGTTTTCTTTAATCTTTTAAAACCCTTAAATGGAATTATAAATGCCTTTTTAATTGTAATATGAAGTGTAATATTCCATTCATGGAACTAGACTCTAAAAAGGGTGTAATACCTTTAACAAATTACAGAGACCATATTCTTCAAATATCCTGCCTTCGCTAACGTCTATAATGACAAACAGTGAAATCATTTTGAATCTACTGGGGCCAATTTACTGGTGCAGCGCACAAGGTCCAGTGCTTCCAGCTATAATTAGAAGATGGCGCGGGCTCTCGATTAGTTTCGGGTCCTACGCCTGCTGACTAGTGAACTAGATCGTGTATCTTTTGTAAATTGCTCTTGTTAGTCGCTTGTAATTTATTTTATGTTTCCAACAACAATTTCAAACCAGCAGTGTCAGGAACACATGTTTTTGCACTTATTGGAAAAACAGACCAGAGAATGTGCGCCTCCAACCTCGTCCCCACTATTGGCTATCAGTATTTATGCAGACTACTGATTATTTTTGAAAGTCATCAGAGATCGTGAACATAATTTTTTTAAATACAAGAGAGAAAATAGACTTCCTTTTTGGCCCAGAATATTTATTGCAGAACTATGAGATTGCTTTATCTCTAAAATAGTTTATAGTCTGCATTGTTTTCCCTGTTCTTCATTTTGATAGTCAATATATTAGTAATAGATTATTTGAAATTTTATCTTAACATCCATTGTGGATTCAAATTCAGTTAACATTTTTAAGGTACATAATGTATCTAAGATTAGCAAACACCTTTTTACCCATTCTTGCCATGGCTGCATCTATATTCACTGAACGCTAATAGCGTGCTGTTTTCTTATTCCATTTTGGCATATTGTCAATGCTCATAAATGTATGCACAGTCTCCAACAGAATATCTTACAAAATAAGTATTGATAATATGTCAGATGCTTGGTATAATAATGAATATTTCAACAGTTATCCCATAGAGCTTTGAACAATTATGGAAGGTAAAATACCCAATATTGATTTACACATATATCCATACTTTACATATTGCTTTCCAGATGTATTTTCTTTTGAGAAATAAAAAATTTGGTTCATAACATATACATTATAAGCTAAATTGGTTCGTAATCAGTTTTAGTGCATCAAATCACAGACTGACATATAAGGAGGTGATCAAATGTTATTTGAATAAATAAATGAGTAAAAATTTGCAATGCAAATATGAACTGAAGGATATCTAGTGAGGAGGCTTTGCTTTGCTTGTACCGATAAATATATTTGCCTTTACGATAAATTTATTTTAAATATTGATATGTAAAACCCAAATTTCAGTACAAATTTCAGATATGTCCCTAACAATGAGGTTATAATAGACCTCATTCAGAACTTGATAATCCTATCCGTAGTACTTGTATAAATGTAAAATACACAGATTATTCACTTTTTATATCCCTATGCTTATACTTCTGAATTACTGTATATAAAATTTTCTAAGATTAAAGTCCTGATCATCAATGAGATAAAAAGATAAAACCACAATGAGATTTTAAAACACTGTAAGCTCTTTTGAACTCAAACCTTTACCCCAATATTAAGAGTAATGAAGCTTCAAGAACCAGTTGTATACACATTAATTATTGTAATTATTTGAGCTGCTTTCCCTTAGGGCCACCAGATTTCTAAGCCGAAAGGGCATTCTTAGCCGACTATGACAATTAGCACCTGATAAATGATGCTACTGCCACACTTCTAAGATAGTGATTGATCATTTCCAATTAATTCCTGAGAGAAATCAATGCTTCCTTCCTAGAGCATTTACGTTAACTAATTTATGTTAATATAAATATCCTATATCCACAATTATCTAGGGAAGGTGGGCCATTCTATTTATAACTGGCTACTATTTAGAGCATCAGTATACTGTTTCAGAGCTCCATATATGTGTAAGAGTTATAAAAACCAAGGAAATTGAGCAATTTAACCACAGCAACTAAATCTTGACATCGATGAAGGTTGACCCATGTCAAATCCAACAAAGAAGCTTCAGAAGATTTTTCAGATTGTTGGGTTACAGCTTGAAAATGCTACCACATATTGAGGTCACCACTCTTTTTGTTTGGATTTGTCCTCCTTGTAGCCACTAGGAAAATTATTTATGTTTCTTAAAGATATGACCCAAAGGGTAACACTCTAAAGAAATGTTTACTCCACTCCTATTCCTATTTTATTATTTACTCCATTCCCATGCATTCATAAATAGTTATCAACTATTTAATATGCCAGTATGTCTAATGTTGCAGAGAGGACAAATAACTTGATACCAGAAAATTATCCTTTGAACTTGGTGTCAAGTATTGAGGGCAGAAGTTAAGTTGGTATAGGTTAAAGGAAAAATGAAGACTTCTACTTCTGGCAAAGCCGTAATTGCATATTCAGTAGGGCTCAACTGCTACAAACATTTAGATTCTCAACAAAACATATTTTAAGGCTTCGTTGGAATTTTAGGAAATAAAGGAAATTTCCAAGTCACCTCTCGCACCCTGCCCCACCAACCCCCTGCCAAACATATTATCTCCAAAGGCAGAGATATGAGTAGCATGCAAACCTGCAGCTTCATCTTTGAGCGTACAGCATTTGTTCCAGTTGCCCTCAGTCATGTGATTAAAAGTAGCTCACTAGAACCATACTGCCATTCCAGTTCACTGGAAGGGAGAAACAGGGCATAAGGACAAATAATTTCATATTCCTAGAGTGTGAATCCTAAGTTTGGCATATCAATTCTGCTTATATACAGCTGGTCAAAATAGTGTGAGGGCCATACCTAACTGCAAGAGAAACTGGAAATTTACTCTCTAATTGGGTAGCCATTTCTAGATGAAATGTGGGGGTGAGATATTATGTGTCAAAAAAGATATATGTCAAAACATGAGACTTGCAGTGAAAGCAGAATCCAGAGACAATTTAATAATACAAAAAGAAAAGTTACAAATAAGCTAAATGTCCTTGTTTAAGAAGAACAGAATAAAACAAAGAAAATAGATGAAATAATAGCATAAACATTTAAAAGGAAAAAATGTATGATAAACTATTAGTTTACTGGTAAACATTACGTAACATTTAACATCTGAAGAGACTAATCAAAAAAAAAGCAAAGACAGGCTAAGTAAAAAAAAAAAAAGAACAAAAATGAAACGGAACTATAGATACACTAATGACAAAAAAGCTAAGAAGATATTAGTGATAAAAAAATAAGAAACCACTTTGTTCCAATAGATTTGTAAAGTTAGATGAAATAAATTTTTAGATAAATGTAACTTACCAAAACTGACTTAAGAAGAAACAGACATGTTATAACCACTAACAAAATTTAAATTTTAGTTAAGTAATTAAAAAAAAAATCAAGCTCAGATTGTATTAGAGAAATTCTACAAAACTCTCAAGGAATTGATCATTCCAATTTTATATAACCCTTCCATACAATAAGAAAAATAGAAACAGTCCATAATTCAAATGGTATGGACAATATATCTTAATTTCAAACAAAAGTAAGAATAAAATATTACAGGCCAACTTCACTTATGAACTGAGAATCAAAAATCTAAACAAAATATGCATGGAATTAACAGAATATTAAAAAGTTAATACATTTGACTAAGTTGAATATCCCAGAAATGAAATGACAAATTATCATTAGAAAAGATAGCATAATAAAGGTGGAAATAGACCTCAACATTTTCATCTCATTAAATGTAGGAAAAGCATTTAACTAATATTTATTTAGGACAGTCTATAATCAGTGCAGATTTTCTTTATTTTTAAGGACTAAATATGAGTATGTTTGATAACTTTATAAAATCTAGAAATGGCATGTACATTTATTCTAGCTATAGAAATAGTGGACATATGACCAAAAGATGGAAAGGAATACATAGACATTAAAATAGTGCTGAGGTGACAGGATATTCCTTTAATATTGTTATTTATACAACAAAAATGTGTTTACTGTATTAAACTCTCAACCCCATTTTATTTAATTATTTTTTAAAGATTTTATTTATTTGACAGAGAGAGAGACAGAGAGGAAACACAGAGAGCCTGATGTGGGGTAGATCCCAGGACTCTGGGATCATGACCTGAGCCAAAGGCAGACGCTTAATGACTGAGCCACCCAGGCGCCCTTCTCAATTTCATTTTAACCTCATTTTCTTTTTAAATTTATTTTAATGGTCAAATCTAAATAATAAGTTTCATTCTTAGTTCTCATTTTATTTTTATGTATAGTTGCTCTTCATAAATACTAATGGATTAAATTTACATAATTTACAAACATGTATTTGTATTTATCAACCTAAAGAAAATAAGTGAATATGCCTGTTTATAACTTCTGAAATCATTTTCATATGCATTATCATTTTATCTTTTAATTATGCTAAGTAGTAGAAAAGGTGGCATTTTTCCATTTAACAGATGAATAAACTCTCATTGAGAGAGTGAAATAACTTGGTAAAAGTTATAGCAGGGGGTAATAACCCAAACTTAATAGAATATTGAAAAAATATAGGGAATAAACTGAGGGTTGCTGCAGGGGAGGTCAGTGGGGAGGATGGGGTAACTGGGTGATGGGCATTAAGGAGAGCGCTTGACGGAAGAGCACTGGATGTTATATGCAACTGATGAATCACTAAATTCTACCCCTGAAACTAATAATATACTAGATGTTAACTAAATTGAATTTAAATACAATATATGTGCCAGACCCTGTGTTAGTTGGGAGTTTACAATGATGATACAGATCCTTTTAACTAAATATTGGTTTTCAAATCACCAATCACCTAAAATCACCTAGAAAGTTTGTGGAGCAATTTAAGTTAGAAAATATCCAGATCTACATTGGCTTTACCACCATACAATGTTGGACAAATGTTGAGATTCAATTCCTGAGTCTCAATTAATAAAATTGGAAGCTCACAGCACATTGCCCTGTCTTACAGAGTTTCTGCTAGATGATTTAATTGTAAAACTCTGTAAACTATATAACATCATACATATGACACCAAAAATGTGACAAATTTATTCGCCAAAAGCCAAATCTTAGGCATTTTCCATTAGAATCAGAATGAGTAGCCAGCACATAGACAACAGCATTTAGATTTGAAATAGTCTAATACACTCAATAAATATACAACCAGCCCGAAAAGTGCTAAGAGAACACTGAGATGTATGTCCTCAAATAATACTAACAGCAATACAACAGACATGAAGTCATTTTATTTGCCAACTCATGAGAAGCTTGAAATTATTTCTCATCCCTTCCTCTCCCTTTTTCTTATAGATTCCTAGAGAAATAAGATTGCTATAATCAATAGCATATTTTCAAATATTTAATTCTGTTTAAAATAAGATAAAGAATACAGATTAAGGTTCTAATCCTGGTTTCATTTATGCAAACATCTGGAGTACCTACCACATGCCAGGCACTGTGCTAGGCTCTGGGGGGAAAAGAAAACAAAACAGATAGGGCTTCTGTTCCCGTGTTACTTATTTTCTGTGTGCCCTTGGGCATTCTTCTTGATCTCTTTCAGCCTATACCCTGATTTATAAGAATACAGTCTTGGTATGAAGATTAGACAAGATTATCTATGTAATGAACATAACATAGAGCCTAAAATAAGATATGCTTAGGTATAAATATGGATTTTAAAATTTTCTTAAATCTATATCAATTTTTATCATTTTAAATAAGAGTATGCAATATAGCTGCAGCAATAGGGAAATTACAAACTGTCATTCTCTAAAGCTAAACCTTAGAGTTATGGGATTTGGGGTTGAGTCAACATTAGGACTTGCCCCTATAGAACTTCACTAGGTTGTTTCCTGAAACAGTTCATGTAACTGACAGAAGGAATTGCCTTTCTTCTTGCATTAATGGCAAACAATCTAAAAGATGGTCTACATGGATTAGAGGTAGAAAAAGGAATCAGACCACAGGAAAATAGAACCTACTACTGTTAACCTAGGATTATCTAAAAAAAAGTGTACATGCTAGGGGAACAGTAGCTTACTCCACGTTCTATTATAGAGTTAAAAATTCCACAAGATTATACAACTTCTCATTCTAACTACGTTTCTGGAAATTAGGAATTAACTTTCTGAACATCCCTACGTTTTCAAAAAAAATCTTGCTACCAACTAACTTGGATAGGGACAAAAATATCTTTATAAATGCAAAGTTATATCCCCCTAATAAAAGTTAATAAAACACTCAAGTTTGGAGATTGGGAATCACTCTACCAGTTGTGGAGCATCTGGGTAAACTCACAAAATTAGGTTCCTACACACACGAGACAAATATTCTAAACTGTTCCCATAGGGCAGCCATTAAGGAAAAAATGAGGAAATTTAACTATTTTAAACACTTCATTTAACACATGAGGCAACTGTAGCACCAAGACTGTGATTTATTAATCTAGTCAATGGCTGAAGCACTAAAATCTGGGTCTTCTAATTCATATTTGGTTTGATTGTTTTACCATCAAATGCTAAATCCAAGGGCATATATTTGTATTTACTATACCTTAAGCAATTTTTTTTTTTTTCTCATCCTTAAGTCAGTGCTTTAAAATATTGTTTGGTAAAAAACAAAAAACAAAACAAAACAAAAGAAACCTGTTTGGTCTCTGAATTTCAGAGAGCAGTGATTTGCAGAAATAAGAAACTCATTGAACAACACAATTTTAATACATGTTGAGGCTGGCTAATTGGTTAGGATACTAGGTTAAAAAGGCCAAAGTCCAGGGTTTAAACTCCAAACAGGCCAGTTAGCTTTTCAAACGAACATTTTTTGACAACCCATGTTGTTGGTTAAAGGAAACTCTTCACTACTGAGCGGTGGGTAAGGGGGAGGGGGGCTACAAAAGTAAGCCATACTTATAGAAAAAAAAGGTGGTTTTGTCACTTTTAAAAGTACACATCTTTTCAGCATTCTTAGGAAGGAGCCTTCTAATAAGCAAACTATTGTTAATCTCTTGGCTTTAAGTAGGATCCTTCCAAAGTCACTCCTCTATCCACAAAATCCATGACAGTACAAGCCAGTTCCTTTACAAATTATAAATTATAATCCTATTATAAATTAGCACCTAAAATAATATTTTGGACACTTGAACGTACAGATCTGGAGCAAGCACTGGAATTTTAATTTTGTAAACTATACCTACAAATAATAACAGAACACCGCCCATAGTGAACTGGGGCCTGGGCTGAGACCTAAAACTTTTGTTCCCCCCAACTGCACTATCACGACGCACTCCCAAGAGCTAACAACAGGTCTGTCCAGATGCTGAGACCAGGGACTTGGAAATCTCCATCTTGCGCCTTGCAGGACTCCAGGGCAGTTAGAACTTCATCTTTGAGAGGTGGAGGGGCCTGACAGAGGCTTTGAAACCTGCCGTACAACTCCTCCCAGGACACGTGTTGGGACTCAGCTCCAACCCAAGTGCCTTTCTCAAGGTCGTAGCGCAGAAGTCGACCCCAGTCCGTAAGCAGACCCAGGTAGGCCCGGGAGAGCTCTGGATGGCGGCCTGCCACCGAAGTTAAAAGCCCGACCGGGAGGTTGTGGCAAAAGGCAGCCATGACACCTGACTTCGCCAAAAGCCAACGGACCAGCTCCTGACCCCCCTCTCCGGGCGTTTTGGGGGTGCCCAGCTCCAACTCTTCTCCCTGGGGCCGGGGAGACGACGGGGGAAGCAGCAGCGCGACCGCTATCACCTTCAGAAAGTTGTTCTGAGGCAAGCGGTCCCACAGAGCGCCGAGAAACCTGCTGGGGCCCTGGGCTTCGGCCTTCGGCACCTCCCGCAGACGCTCCAGCAGCAGCTCCGCCTGGGTCTTCAGCACTGCGTCCTCAAGCACCGAGTTCTCTCCGTAGCCGACGAAACGCAGCATGTGGACGGCGGAGCCGCGGCGGGCGAGGCGAACCAGGCTGCCTTGAAGCGTCTCCTCGTCGGCGTCCGGGACGCCAGGGCCCGGAAAGAGCTGCTGCAGCAGGTAGTGATAGGCGGCATCCCCGAGGGCCCGGTTCTCCAGCAGGCGCAGAGACAGCAGGCGGTCACAGCGCCCCAGCGCCTGGAAGTTCGTCAAGCCGGGGACTGGAGCGGACCCAGGGGCGCCGTCCTGTCTCCCCCGTTTCTGCAGTCGCCGTTCCAGAGCCGTGCGAATGCGGACATGGCGGCCAAAGCGACTGTGGACGTGGCGCAGGTAGCGAGCCCACTGCAAGGCCCGGCGCACGGTTGCGGGGTCCCAGGTGCTGACGTGGGTCGTGCGGGAGACGGCCAGAAGCTCGGAGAAGCGCTCCAGGTGTTGCAGGATCGATTCCATGGGGGCGTGCTTACTTCCGCGTTCACCTTGGAGACGCCGACTCTCTGCGTGCCGATTGGAGCGTCCGTGTAAGGATACGCCTCTCTACGACGCTATTGGATAAAGTCCTTATCAATCTCACATCGGCTTTGATCCGGGTATTTTGACCCCGGGAAATTTAAACTGGAGAAAAGGCCCGGCCGTTTTACTTTCGCCGCCAATATTAAGGAGGCCCTTGGGGCTGGAGGAGAATAAATGTGGGGCGTCCTAGAGAAAGTTCCCGGAGTCACGTGTGAGATGCTGTTAGTCACGAAAGTCTCCGTGCTTCCTTTCACTTTGGAAATAATCCCTAGTAGAAATTTCCTGAGCTTTGCCTGAGAGTCTGTGCTGAGGTTTATCATAATTGGGTAATGCCAGACGTGGTGTTAATATTAAATGAAGGCTTTAATTAACTCAGTTTAATAGAAAATGTACTGGCCTCCAATTAATTAATGCCAGGCACTCTTAAATTCCGGCCTTCATGTTGTTCTTTCATTTTTAAGAACTGAAGCCCAGATTAATTGGAACAAACAAAACTTATTAATACTTCACTAAAAATTTTAAAGGAACTTAAGTTTTCATTTCAAAATTGCACTATTTATTTTTGTTTTCATTTTTTCCATAGCAAAATAGCTCAGTTGAATTTTGTTTCACACAAACAACTAATTGAGCAAAAGTGACAGTTAAGAGCAGATACCAAAAGCAAATACTTGACTAAGATTGTGGGAAGAGAGAGGGGAGAGAAAAAAAGGATCTATTTCGGGAATGTCATCTGGATTATTCACTCATTTATGCATTCAACAAATATTTATGTGCCAACTACTAGAGGTTGCATTGTCCAAATACCCACAACAATTTTTAACTTACTGATGTTGATGACACAGCTCATTTGAGCTGAGTTCCTTTACAGTCCTAAAGATACTAGCCAAAACTCATTCTAATTTAAGTAGGCAGAATTGATGTTTTGTTTTGTTTTAACAAAAGGGAAAGAGAAACGAATTTAAGAGGGGGAAGAGCCATGTTTCATTTATTAAAATGAGCATTCCCACATCTATACCTCTGAAACAAATAATACATTATATTAAAAAAAAAAGATACTAGGAAGGGAAAAATGAAGGGGGGGAAATCATGGGGGAGACGAACCATGAGAGACTATGGACTCTGAGAAACAAACTGAGGGTTCTAGAGGGGAGGGGGCTTGGGGGGATGGGTTGGCCTGGTGATGGGTATTGAGGAGGGCACGTTCTGCATGGAGCACTGGATGTTATGCACAAACAATGAATCATGGGACACTACATCAAAAACTAATGATGCAATGTATGGTGACTAACATAACATAATAAAATAAAATTAAAAAATTAAAAAAATAATTAAAAATGAATAAATAAAGCAGTGATGCTTATGCTGTTAATTCGGTTTTATTATTTGATATTTATCAGCCCACAGTCATTTGGTCCTGAAGTATTACTAGATTTATGCCAGGAATACCATATATCCCAAAATTCTTTGTATTGGCTACTAGACACTTTGAGCCCAGTGTGCAGCCTGCCTTTAGGAAATGTACGGGCTTCACTAATTCATTCATTTATTCTTCTATTGAGCACTTGTTATGTCACATCATGTTGATACTAGGGATTTAGTGATAAATAAAATAAATGTAGCCCTTGTCCTAGTGGAGGAATTCATCTCCTGACTTTGAAGAGAGACATTAAACAAGTAACCTCAAATTTGATAGGAGGATAGAATAGAGGTAGGTCAGTAAGACTTAGGTAATAGGGAGACCTCTTTAAAAAACTGGCTTTTCACCTGAAAGCTCAAAGATGAGTGTTGAGAATTGTTTTCATGGCCAAGGGAACAGTTAAGTTGCAGATAACTGAGTTGAGAAAGTCTAATCCATTCAAGGAGGTGAAAGAAATCCAATAACGATGCCTTTAGTTCAGGATGGGGTGAGAACTTATGGCAAGAATTGTTCATATTAACTTCAGCTTCAGATCTTTCCACTTATCTCTTTAAAATACTATTTTATTTTAAATCCTTACTTGAGCAATATAATGTATAAATTTATACATATTTTACATTAGCCTATTTTCAATAAACAATGTCTATGAAGTCCTCCCCTTTAGAAGAAAGAAAAGCCTAGGGTTTAGAGCTTCTCCTCAATGTTAGATTTAATTCACCAAAATTCAATGAGCATTAATTCTACTTCTACATATAGCTTCTACTATATGTAAAGTGTTAGGGATTGAAAGATAATTATGACAGGGCCTTCACTTTAAGAAACCTACAATCTTGAGCCAGGGGTGGGGAGGGGCACAAAACCACTTAACTATAATGCAAATCAGATGTTATATGTTTTAAAAATTGTAAGAATGATTCTCTGAGAGACCAGTTATAAACTGGAGAGTCCTAGGAAAGTTTTATAAAGGACCAATACTTCATTCAGGCCTTAAACTCCTTGAGCAAACATGGGATAAGGGAAAATCCAAATGAGAGAAATAACAAGGTAAAACATATAATGACATGAACATGTACAGTGTGGGCTACAAATACCAGGAGCAATCTCCCACTTCTTGGTTATGATCCCTAAGTTTCTGGGATACAGTAAATTAGGATAGTGTATGGAAGGCCAAATCTCAGGAGATTTTTGTTAAAACATGATAATCATTCAAACCATGGCTGTTAAGCAACAAACAAGTGAGGTTCAGAAAAGAGAGGACATGAGATAATAAATGTAAAATGCCGTACCTAATATTATGACTGTCTTTTAATATCCATTCTATCATCACTCCCACCCACTTTGAATGATGACAATGCCATTTGGGATAGGGACTCAGCTCAGCTCAAGGGGTAGTACCTGGTAATTTTGAGCCAATCATTTTAATCTGCCCCTCTTGTAATTCAGTAATTAATTTAGGAACCCAGTCTTAAGACTTTCAAAGTAAAGTGTTTCCTAATGACAGAAATTTGTTCAAAAATAACCAGGTGAATCATTTTCAATCCCTTAGGCCTAGATGATTCAGAGAATACTTTCTTACTTTTGAGAGTCCGTAGAGCATGAACACTGAGCATGAACGTTGACTAATATGAAGAGGAAGTGGTAATAAACCATCTGAGTGTACATAAGCTGAGTATCAGGCATGCTTAAGAGCTAGTTTCTGTCTTCCTCTTGATACTGTTATATATCTATATGAAGCCCAAAGCTGCCACAGCCGCCTCCTTCCCAGAGCCAAGAGAATCTCAGAATCACAAAGCATACATCGGATTAAGACAATCCTCAAACTAACCCCGTTTAGGATTATAGCCCTATATGTTCCCAGTTATGGTATGTTTGTGTGTGTGTGTGTTGTTTGGTTTTTTTGTTTTGTTTTGTTTTGTTTTTTGGCATGTGTGCCAGTTTTAGTTTCATTTTTGTCAGTTTTAGCTAAATGCACCCAACTAGTACAAGCCCTGTAGGACACTATATGACATGTATAAGCAATACATTGGCTATTGCTGTTGTTATTATATAAGCCTTGAAAGTATACATCTGCCCACATCTCTAAATTCCCCTCCTCCCAAAGGTAAAAGAGCAACCACCAACACTGTTACGGACAGTGGCGAAGAAAATTTTATTGAAGAAAGATGCGGCTTGCTGCAGCAATATTTACTCTTGGTCCTGTAAGTTTTCTTTTTTTTTTTTTTTGAAAGAGAGAGAATGAGAGAGAGAGCACATGAGAGGGGGGAGGGTCAGAGGGAGAAGCAGGTTCCTTGCTGAGCAGGGAGCCCGATGCGGGACTCGATCCTGGGACTCCAGGATCATGACCTGAGCTGAAGGCAGTCACTTAACCAACTGAGCCACCCAGGCGCCCGGTCCTGTAAGTTTTCTAATACAGTCTTGTTCAATGCACTGTAAAGACTAGAAAAATCAAATTGGTTTTATTCTCTAGGTGAGGTCTAAATCTTAGTCCTATAATTTATTGTCCTAAATTATAGGACACTATGCAGCTGAGAGACCAACAAAAACAAAATATTCTGATACCTCTTTTTTCTACTCTGAACAATGTCATAATCACATATCACCACATTAATTTCAGCTATCTGGTTGTTGACATAATATTTTTTCTGTATGAATAGGTAGGCCTGGATGCCCCATCTTCAGGCAAGACAGACACAGAGGGTTTTTCCTTCATCCAGGAAACTGCTTCATGGAAGGAAAGTGTTTTGACCTTTTTACAGTCCCTCCAGGGGCAAATATTATGGGCAATGATTACACCTGATCCTGACTCCATTACCTCATTCAAAACAGTGGTAAGAATAGGTCTCTCTGTATTCTTTAGTAACAACAATAAATAACAAGCTGGTATACCTTTTAAAAAAATTTATTATTAAAATATAGTTGACATACAATGTTATATTAGTTTCAGATGTACAACATAGAGATTTGACAATTCCATACATTAAGCAGTGTTCACCACAATAAGTATAGTTACCATCTGCCAAGTTGGCACAACTTTTGAAGAGAGATTTCTCATAAAAAATTTGCAGACACATTTGTCATTTTTTTCCCCAACAATGCAATCTATCTTTCTGAGAAGGCTGTCATGGGTAAGGGGCCCAGGAAGTTAGTGGAAGAGTTCCAGATGTCCAAGAAGGACAGAGCATCATCCTAGTGAATTCAGAGGAAGGTGTTGGAGAAGGGATTAAAAGGTAGGACTCTCCTTGTACGCATAGGTGTAGATGTCTGCTCCAAATCTCTTTTTTTTTTTTTTCACAAATCTGAGACACTCCTTTCCATTTGCACTGTATGTGGCTTTAAGCGGTCTCAAAGCTAGTAGTAGAAAGACCGTTCATTTTTTTTTAATGTTTTATTTATTTATTCATGAGAGTCAGAGAGAGAGAGAGAGGCAGAGGCAGAGGGAGAAGCAGGCTCCCCGCTGAGCAGGGAGCCCAATGCGGGACTCGATCCCAGAACCCTGGGATCATGACCTGAGCCAAAGGCAGACGCTTAACCATCCGAGCCACCCAGGCGCCCGGAAAGACCGTTCTAATAAGGCATAAATATTCTGAAAATCAGAACTTCCATGAAAACTTTGAAATACTTGATACTAGGAATTTTTGGATTCAAAATTCACTTACGTCATTATAATAAGGTTTAGCATTATGTTGCCTTTATAAGGAAAGAAGAGCTTT